CTGAATCCTCGGAGGAGCAACAACACAGTGAATTGTCTGCTTGTGTTACTACTCTCAGCAAACTGCATTTTCCTCCAGCAACTTTACAGAGAAACCAGAACAGATATTGGGTTGTTGTCATTTGAGCTTCAACAAAAAATTACTGAAATATTCAGACATTCATAAACGTCATTAAATTAAATGCTTGATCTAGGCCGGCTGCCAATGGTGAGGCTTTGGATGCCAAAATGACTTGCATCTGTCACAGGATTGATTGACCCATTTTGAACCTATCATATGCATAAATCAGCACATGAAAAATTATATGAGAAAATTAGAGCAACATTATTTGAAAATCACAAGGATCAAAAATAACAATAAACTACACTTATGAATAATTATTTCTGGAAATATCGAAACAATAATTATGTAAGGTTGTGTCTATCACACATGCTGTTCTGAGATTTTATTTGTGACAATATGAAGACTGTGATCATTTGGTTAATTGTGCCTGATATTTTTTGACTGTTAAATAATAGAGGTTGATATAAGGATCAAATTTGTGGACAGGACTAAATGTAGGTTTGAATGTCTAGTTGCTGGCACTAATCTAGTTAACGGCATAGTGTATTGAAAGAAAGGAATAAAAAGAAGCATAATGTTAAGTCTGGGTAAGTGGTGGAGAGGTGCCTTGGCTCAGCTGGAAAAATAGATGTGCTGCTGTGTGAGGTGTGTATAAAGAGAGTTGATTTATTTCACACTCAGTGTTACGTTTATCATTTGCAGGAATGGATGCAGTTACTGGGAAACACACATATTTAAAGGAATATGGAAAGCTACGAGTAAATAACAGTCCTGTGTTTCAGGTAGCCTTGTCAACTTCATCATATTCACTGTTCACCATGTCAAGGATTCACACAACCTTACTCTTCTTCATCGCAATTTACTTTTAGCAAATTTTTCCAGACAGGGCATATTTTGGGCAATTGAAGGCCTAGGTACAGCCATCAGAACCCATGGGGCTGGGAAAAAGGAGGTGCAAGATGCAGGGGACATTGCAGTTTTTAAAGAAGGGGTGTGAGGATGGGAATCACAACTCCTGTGGACCCGAAGAATCCCAACAGCTAGACCTGATGGCTCTGAAAGGGTTAATGTTGCAGTTGCGTTTGCTGCACCTGGTCTGATGATGTAACATAGTCCTTATGTGGAGAATCAAGTAATTTAGCTCAGTGCAACAGATATGTAATCTCTAGCTCTGATATTTGTAGTTGTACCTAACTAGTTAATGCAACTTGTACTGATTGCTATCATGAAATAAACAACATCTTGTTAAGTCACATGAGTGCCTCTACACATTAAGGTTTTCTGGAGGTTCATGCTCTACCAATGATAGCCCTTACATTCAGCACAGAAAGGAGAATTGGTTGCAGTAAATTATCCCTTCCACAAGCCACTCGTACTTGATTCCAATGGCACTAGATTCCATTATGTTATGGTAATCAGCACTATTGCTGAAATTACTTCAGGTATCAATGGTGGAGCAAATCCATTCAACCCAGGGACGACAAACAATCAGAAGAAAATTAAGTTTACCACTTTAAGAACATTACCACTTTAAGAAGATACAGACAGTTAGTCAGCAGCTGAAATGCAAAAACTGACCAACAATCAGCTGCAGTTGTTGGAGCAGCAACAGGGTGAAAGCAGCGCTCCGAACGATATCTTCACCTCAGAGCTGTTGAGAGGTGCAGGAAGAGAGCCATGGAAAAGAGACAGAAACCTTCAAGAAGAAGGCACTGTTAGAACCCTGAAAGTAAAGTCAGAGACTACAGAGGATAAGGGAGAAAACACTTTATATTAAGGGTGCAAGAAACCAGTCAGGAAAGGAAAGAAGTGAAAGGGATAATTACACTTCAAAACAATTATTGCCACTACAAGAAAGTGCATACCATGAGGCATAGCAACTGCAATGAGCTCAAAATTCACTAAATTAATTTATAACGTGTATCAGAAAATGTATCAGAAAAATGGTACAGGTTGTAGACATGCTCGCCGAGCCAGTGGGTTTGGTTGCAAACGTATTGTCAACCTGCTAGGTAACATCTTCAGTGTGCCTCTGGTGAAGTGTTGGTGTTCTGTCCCACTTGTTATTTACATGCCTCGGTTTGCTGGCATGGTTGGTATTACTTCCGGCTTTGTTTCTCAATGGTTTGTACA